TCGGCCAGGATCCAGGCTCCAGGATCCCTTTGTCCTCTTTGCCCACAGCTTCCAGAGGCTGTTTGCAGAGGATTCGGAAGACTGACCCTTGTGCTTCTAGAACTCCACCCCAGCCCCGGCCTGGAAAACAGACAAAGAGGGTCTCTTGGGGCCCGTGGGGGTTCTCCTGGGGCGCGGAGGGAGCCCCGCCTCCAGCAGCTCCTCTTGGCCCCTGGCTGCCCACCCCCGGCTGCATGGCTGAATGTCCCTCAAGGCCCCGGGGCTGGCCGGCCCCTGCGCCCTGATCGGCGTCTGGGGGGCCCAGGATGAGGGCCACCGTCCAGGGACAGAACAGGGGAGGGGCTGGGCGCCACTCTGGTCAGTGCTGCGGAGGAGAAACCGCTCACAGCGCACACGCGAGGACCCTGCATGGCTCAGCAGGGACGCGGGTAAGGAAGGGGTTAGAGGCCCTGGAATGTTCCAAAGGCCGCGAGGCTAACGTCTGACCACAGACCAGATGAGGAGCAGGAACCAAGACCAGGATAAGCTGCCCCTCCCTCAGCCTGGACCCCAGGACTCAGGTGTGGCACATGTCTGGTCTCTGAACTTTCTAGAACGGCCGAGAAGAAGCTCACGGGCACCAGGCCGGTTCTGCCAAAGGCCCCTGAGCATCTTGGCCCCGAGTTCCCAGAGCAGCAGAAGGAAACCTGCAGGGAGACCCCGAGTCGTGGGAGTCTGAAGTGCGTGGGCACGTGGGGTGCGGGGACACAGGAAAGGACGTCTCTCCCCAGAGGGCACCCGATGGACCCTGGACAGACATCTGAATGTGGGGGCAGAGCAGTGGGGGGTTTAATCCCACAGCTCACTGGGTGTAGTACGTCAACTCTCCTGAAGATAGGAGCCTCTCTCCCTTCTGAGAGGGGCTGTGAGGATTAAATGAGATCACACTTGTGAATCCCCCGGGCATTAGGTCTGACCCCATGGGGGTTCAGGATCAATGCTAGTCTTCCTTCCATCCATCCATGCATCCACTACTGCAGGAATAAATCAAATCACAGGAGAACTGCTCACACACAAACAAAACTCTTCAACAGGAGTAGCTTCCACCAGCGGCACTTGGGAACTAGCTCCTTTCTGTTGCAGAATTAATTCCTTGCCCCAACTTGCTAAAAGGGACATCTGTTTCAGTCCTGAGGAGACTGGACCCCTTTTCTGGTGCCCACCTCCTCTGGAGCTGGCAGCTGGGAGGGGGTCGCCTGACAGTGTCTCCTGGTTGGGGAAAGGTCAGGATGGAAGGTTGATGGAAGGAGGTTGGTGGAAGAGACAGGAGCGATGTTCACAGCAGGCCCTGCCTTAGTCTGAGGAAGGCAGGAGAAGAGGAGGATATGGAGAAGAGCGGGCAGCTGGGGCAGAGGTGTGGGGGCGGGGCAGGGTGCCAACTGGGTGGGGGCCGTTGTGGGGGTTCATTGCGAAGCCCACGCCCGGGCACAGTCCAGCCTCATTCAGGAGCCGGTTCTCAGGGATTCCTTCATGGTTCCCACAGCAAACACCGAGGCATCTTCCAGGTGGAGCCCTAACCCACAGAGTCACGCGTGGTGGGGACGCTGCCCTGGTCCTCAGCATCTCGGGTGATCCGCATGCGAGGCTCACACGGTGCGCAGGCCGGCGGCTAGCACCCGGGGACAGTGAGCCTGGGGGCCCCTGGAACCACTGCCCTCGGGAACAAGAACCAGGCATGCTCACCTGCGTGCAGGACCTTTATTCAATGCGGGCACTTAGCGTCGCTCTGGCCTTGCCGACTGGTACCAGCCCGGGGTCACCTGGCCTCCGGTCCCGACAGGTGATCGGAGCCCACCTGACCGCGAGGAAGCCCTGCGCGGGGGGCGGATCCGGGACTGGGCCTCGCTGGGTCCTGCTTCCCAGAGGAGGCGGGGGGCCGGGGACGTCGGTCACCGCGGCGGGCGACTGCGCGAATGGTTTCTCAGGGCCCAATCCCCACCTGAAGCTGATTCCCGAAAGGCAGAGGAGCCGGTGCAGGCGGCCGGCGGACTGACCAGAGCGGCGGCTGGGCGGGGGGAGCGCGCGGTACCCGGCGGCGGCTGGCGCCCCTACTGGTGCCGCAGCGCGGGTGCGGGACGCGGCCGCCGGGTGACGCCTCTAGCGCGTCCACTGCGGGGACTCCAGTCCAGGCTGCTGGGGGCTCCTGACCGTGGGCTCCAGTGTGCCCCAAACCCCAGCCGGACGCTGGGAGGGACGCAGACTCACCGGCCTCCCCTCCCGACCCTAGCACCCCCCTCCCCGCTCCAGGATTGATGTTTGTTCAGAAACACCCAAGATGCACAGAGCCGGGGGGCTTTGGGTTCGTGGGAAGGAAGAATACAGGCAGGCTCCACCCGAGGTGACCCCCAAGGAGAGACACAGAAACAATGGCCCAACAGAGGCTGGCTGCAGAGAAGGTGGAAGAAGGCCCCACCCTTCCCTCACTTGGGTGGAGTTGCCTGAGCTCTTGGTAGATTTCCTGTGTAAATTACAAATCTAAACCCCTGCCCCTTCCATAGACTTGGAATAAGGTATCACTCGGATCAGGCCTCCAGATCAAATGTCTGAACCCTGGTGACATCACGTCACTGCTTTTTCCCCACCGTAACTGAAGGAACAGCCTGGGAGAGGTTGATCACCTTGCCCAAGGCGCTTTGGGGACATGGTGGCCAAGGCCAGGCAGGATCCTGGGGACAAGACCTGAGCCCAACCATCACTGCCACATGCCATCACCCTGGATCTGCAGAGACACCGCTGAACTCCAGGCGCCCTGCTCCTAGGTCTCTTCCCTGTCCTTGGTTCTTGCAAACGTCCCCCAGCTAAGGGGCACATGCAGATCTCAGCACAATCCAACCCACCTTCCCAGGGCACCGGAGGACAGCTGTCACCCACTCCACCCCCTGGGGGCAAGTGGGAAGCCCGCCCGCAGCAGAGGGGACGCAGAAGAGCTGCCAGCCAGCTAAGCCCTCAGCAAACAGGACGCCAGGAAGCCATGAAGACAACGCTGGAGAGCCCCCTCTGCCACGTGTGAGGCTGGAGAAGCTCTGCTGTGTGTCTTGCTGCCTTCTCTGGATCCTTCCTTCTGCCTTCCCTGACCAGAAAGAAGGGAATGTCCTGAAAAGCAGTTGCAGATACACCTGTTGACGTGTGCCTCACCAGCGTCCTGTGAACCCCTGTGCCTTTATTACTGCTTCAGGAAGAGACAGATCTGGGAGTTCCCTGGTGGCCTAGTGACGGATTTCGCTGTGAAGGTCTGTGTTCGATCCCTGGTCGGGGGACCAAACTTTGTGCCTTGAGGCCTGGCCAAAATTCAAAAAGGAAAAAAAAAAAAAAAAAAACCTTTATTACTGCTTCAGGAAGAGACAGATCTGGGAGTTCCCTGGTGGCCTAATGACGGATTTCGCTGTGAAGGTCTGTGTTCGATCCCTGGTCGGGGGACCAACATTTGTGCCTTGAGGCCTGGCCGAAATTCAAAAAGGAAAAAAAAAAAAAAAACCCCAGAAAGGCAAATCTGCAAACAGCCAGAATTTAGAAGTCATGCTGAATGTGAAATTCAAGCTATCTGGGAGGACTGTAATTTACATGACAAGGTCACAGGTGATGTGAAAGAGTGGTCTGAAGTACCCTTTATACCAAAGGAAAGATGAAAATTCCATAGAAGATGATGAAAACATTGAAGCTTTCTTCCACACCTGAGTTCATGGATTCCTGCATTTTCCCCACAGACTCCAGGTTAAAACCACAGAGTGACCCTCCTGTGTGGACTGTAGCCTGCCAGGTTCCTCTGTCCATGGGATTCTCCAGGCAAGAATACTGGAGTGGGATACCATGCCCTTCACCAGGGTATCTTCCTGACCCAGGATTCAAACCCGGGTCTCCCACATTGTAGGCAAGACTCTTTACCATCTGAGCTACCAGAGAAGCCCAAGTGACCCTCAACAGGCATTTAAATTTAAAATCAGAGAAGAGGAACATATTGGTGAGGATCTCCACAAAGAGATGAGGATCTATCTGGAAACCTTCGCTGGTCTGGGGGTTTGAGCCCAGACTTTGCAGACAGACCTCCTCCCCCTGAATCCCGACTCTGTCACTTGTGCCCTCTGGGCCTGCGCTATCTCCTTCTGCAAACGGGGAAGCAGAAGTCCTGTCCCTTTAGGGCTGCCGGGCAGGGAGCTGAGCGGGGACAGGGCGGCCTCTGCACCGTGGCTGAGGGGCAGGCTGCTGCAGTCTGATGGAGGTGTTGAGAGAATGTGCCAGGCCTGGGGGCTGCTTTCCTTTCCCTTCAGGCTATAACAGATGCCCGCCTTTCAAGAAGTGGGGTCCTGGGGATGCCTGGCTCTGGCCATTCCCGTGTTGATCTCTTGGCCTGGAAGGCCTCCCTCCCTTAACCCCACCTGGCCAGCTCTCACTCAGCCCTTAAACTTAGCTCAGATGTTGCCTCCTCCAGGAAATCTTCCCTGAAGCACACCCGCCACTGGGCATGTGCCTGAGCACAGGGCACTAGACCTGTCACTATCAATGCAGATGAAACCACCAGTTGCCTCCATCTCCTTCTGCATCCACTCCCCATGGGGAACCCCCAGCTGGACGCATGGCCCATTCTCTGTTCCTCCAGAGTACAGGGAGCCCGTAGCCAGCCAGGGGGCATAACTGTTCCGAATGGGTGAATAAATGATTGAGTGGCTTCCCCAAGCCCCTGCACACTCAGAGAATCCTGGAATTGAGCCTGGACAGCTCAGGTTCCCTGGATGGCCTTGCAGCAGAGAGTCAGGATGGGGCCTCTGGGAGCCCCGAATCCTCAGAGATTATGGGATCGGCTGGGGTCTGCATGGGCAGGCCCTGCATCCTGTCAGAATCACCCATCCCTGGGCTGTCAGACCCCTTCCTGCCTCCTCCTGCAGCTCCGCCCCGGAGGCCTCGTCCCAAGAGCTCAGAAGGCTTTGTTCGCATCCCAGACCAAGGAGCACCCTGGACCCACTGTGGCTGCAGAAGCTGGATTTATTGGTGGATTCTGATTCAGGGCTGCACTCAGGTCCCTGCCGCTTTGTGCCCACCACCAACCAGATGGCCTTGGCAGGGTAACCCACAGATCAGACCTGGAAACTCAGGAATGGACATTTCTCTTTGGTTGAGGTGCTATTTGTTTAAGTATGAAGGATAACCCCATTCAAAGCCAATGCTAGTAATGCCCAGAAGCCTGTAGTGGCCGTAGACTCTGGTGAGCACCTTGTCACTCTCATCAGGGAATTCAATAAAGGTGTTGCCATCTTCCTTCCCAAATAGGTACTGCCTCCCTTGGTCTGTGTATATGACCAAGTAGCGGAGGAAATTCTTATAGGAGCCGTAGATTCCTATAATGTGTTCTTCTGGTTGCAGAATGGTTTCCTGAGGTGTCCCACCTGGGGCTCCGTATTTCGCACTCCAGGAAGAGCCATATCTCACCTGGATACTGAGAGGAAGGGGGAGCTTTGAAGGTCCAGGATATGGATGACCCGCCAATCCCCAATCCTCTAAACACCACCCCCAACGTCATCAGCAAGGACAGCCTATCACTACAGCATAAGTGCCTGAGCACGTGACTTTGGTGCCTTCCTGGTCTTAACCCCTGCTCTGACACTTTCAGGCTCTGTGATTTGGGGCTTGTTGACCAGCCTCTCCTGGCCTTAGTTTGCTCATCTGCAAAGTGGGAATGATCTGGGGGAGCAATGACTGAGATCTTCCATCAGGAGAGCTCCCCAAGGTGCACAGTCACCAGGGCCCTCAGGAGTTGCAGCTGGTCTCCTGGCTCAGAGAGGGGAACTGACGCCGGGCCCAGCATTTAGAGCCCCAGTCACTGCACTAGACCAGGTGGGGCCCCCAGGAACAGGTGACCCCTATCTGTGACCTTCCCCCACCTCAGTGTCCATCCCAGAGTGTCCCCTCCTCACATGGCCCCACCCACACTCTGGCCCCGATGGTGCCTGCTGCTCTGGCCCATTCCTTCTCCCCAGGTCCCTGGGACCCCATAATTGCAGAGCAGATATCTACCCCAGGCCTGGAGCAAAGCCCCCATTTAACCATTAGGGGAAGACCCTGGGCTTGCTGTCTCTACAATTCTAGTGTTCAATCAGTGGTCCACTCTGACCCTCCTTCCTTTTCTCTTTGACTCTAACCTGGGCAGAACTTCTGCTTTCCCATAGGCATTCTCAAACTGAGAGACCATTCCTGGTTGAGCTGAGTTGGGGTTGAAAGGAGACAGTGGGTAGAAGCACCCCTCCCTTTAGATCAACCCAAGAAGCAGAGGCTGGACTTGATGGGGGAGAGAGGAGGGGACAGGGCTGGTGTGCAGGGGAGGAAACAGCAGAGGAAGAGGGACAGACAGAGGGTGCTGGCTGGGGGCTCTAGGACCCCAAGGCCTCAGCTGACTCAGGAGACATCAGGACCCCAGTGAGGGTGGTGGGAGGAGGGACCAGCCCCCTCCCCAGGTTCCCGAGACAGGGGCAGGGGCTGGGATGCAGTGAGGGGCTCCAGGCCCTGCTCAACTCACCTCTTGATTAGGCCCAGAGGACCTATGAACACTCGAATCCCGGTGATATCGTTTTGGAAGTCTCTAGAGGTACTGAAATAGTTACCTCCTCCACGCCCATACACTTCTATTAGATGAAAGAACCAGGTGGGGAAGAGAAAAAAATAAACACACAGTGACATGTTGGCTGTTTCTGTCCAGAGAAGGACACAGTCCCTCCTACGAGGGGACAGGCCTAAGAGCAGAGTCCGTCTGTGACAAGGGCTGGCCCAGGCCCCAGCCCTGGACGGAGGGAGGGGGCCTCCAGGGGGATGGGCTGGGGGGGCCCCCAACCAGACTTACGCTGTGCCCAGCAGGTGGGGCTCCAGAGGACGGCGAGGGTCAGCCACAACAGCATGGCTCCTGGGGAGAAGAGGACAGGCCATCTGATCTCAGAGAGGGGCCTCCCCTGACCTCGTGGGCCAAGCTTGGCGGGGGGCGGGGCCTTACCTGGCCTGTGGAGTCCTATGGTCCAGTCCTGGTGCTGGGAGTCTGCTGGCGCCTGGAGGTCCTCCACTGGGCCTTTTATACCCTCCTGAGCCATATGGGCTCTCCTCCAGGAGGAAGGAGCAAAGGGGTCAGCAGGTGGCAGGAAGGAGTTGGGAGGGGGTCTTCCTGGGGGAATCCCCAGAGCCATCCAGGGGGAGGCTCCCGGACGAGCTCTGTGGTTGTCTTGGCCCCGCAGCCTACACAAATACAGGAAGACAATGACCGGTATTCTACTCTCACCTCTGGGTCTCTCTTCTAGGCCCCTGCACTTGACCTTGACTTCAGAGGTGGGGGAGGTGTCTGAGAGCCCTTCCCAGTTGACCAAAGAGGGTCAGCCTCACAGGGGTGCTTCAGGGTAGCTGCCCACAGGGCCTCGTGGGGCCCAGGGCTCCTGCCTCATGTTGAACCCGGTTCAGGGTCCAGAACCCCCACATGATGACAAGCAAAAGGGGCCCAGATAGTGGCCTGGTGTGTGCACAGCCTCCTGGGGAAGAGCTGGCTGCCAGGAACCCGGGACTCTGGCTTCACCGGGATGGTAGTGCTGGGGGCTTGGTGTTGGGGTGGAGGCCCTGTCTAGCTGCCACCTCCCTTACTTACATCATGACCCGGGGCCAGGGGTCAGCACACTGCAATCCGCAGGCCAAGTCCCACCTGCCATTGCTTCTTACACAATCCGTGAGCTAAGAATACATTTTACGTTTTAAATGATTAGTAAAAATTCAGAAGAAGAATGTGAGATTTGAAAAGTTCATGAAATGTCAATACCGTTGCCAATAAACAAGTGTTATCGCCCTTTTGGGTTTCCCTACAGGCTCAGCAGTAAAGAACACACCTGCAACGCAGGAGACACAAACATGGCTTTGATCCCTGAGTCAAGAAGGTCCCCTGGAGGAGGGCATGGCAACCCACTCCAGAATTCTTGCCTGGAGAATCCCTTGGAGAGAGGAGCCTAGTGGGCTACAGTCCACGGGGTCACAAACAGTCGGACACAACCGAGCAACTCAGCACACATGGAGCAGAAAGCAGCTTTGTCCAGAAGCTGGCTCCTCCTTCCGGGCCTGCGCTGGTCCCCCTGGACAGGCTCCTTAGGGCTCAGGCCCCCACCCTGACTCCTGTGGCAAAGGTGAGGCCCTCACCTGTCCTCCAGAGCTCCGCACGCGCCCCCAGAGGCCTCCAGCCACGTGGTGCCTCTAGGGAAGGGCAGCTGGCTGCAGGGGGCAGAGAAGCCCTCCCGGGGCCCTGGATCCTCCTGGGAAGGCAGAGACGCAGGAGGCCTAGGACCCCGGCAGGTACAGCTGCTGGAAGAAGGGGCCCAGAGGTGGCACAAAGGGGCCTGTGTTCCTGCCCCAGCCCAGCGTCAGGCACTTTTTCTGAAAAAGCTGCCAGTTAGGAGGCTTCATTCTCACTGCAGACTGCCAGGGTGTGAGCTCAAAAGCAGGGTCTGTCTGGCTGGGACTCCAGGATGCAGTACCTGGGGTGGGAGTTGGAGGAAGTGTTGGCTGCCGGACTGGACAAGGCAGCGTGACGGGACTCGCCCGAGGACACATGGGCAGCACATTTTCATAGATGGCAGGCGCATGGTTATAAGGGGCACGCATGCACACACGTGCTTACCAATGCATGTGTGCAACACAGGATGCACCTTCTAACATCTGCCCGGCTATCCCTACACCCAGGAGTTTGCACTCTTCCTGCAACATGCACACCTACGCTGGAAGCCCCGCCCCCTCGGTCACCCTGGCCCAGTGCTGGCTCTGAGCCCACTGGGGAGATTTAACACAGGCCCTTTGTCCCTGGGGATCAGAGTTGCGCACGAGGGGGTTTAGGAGCATTGAAACCATAATCCCCTCTGTGGGCGTGCCCCGGATCTCAGTCTGCCAGGAGCCCGGAACAGCTGGGTCCCCTTCTCCCAGCCAGGGCAGCTGCTGGGCAGACTGGCGCGTGGGTCGAGGGCAGGTCAGGACTGACATCCCTTGCCCCCCTCCCCGTGGGCTCCGACACCGACTGAGGCCTCGGCCCAGCGCACTCAGGGCAGGCGGGCGCCTCCCTGGGCCCCTCGGCCGGGAGTCCCTGCCTTGCTTGCTTGGAGGCTGGATCCTGCGTCCCAGGCTCAGGCTCCCGGGGCGGGGCAGGGGGTGCTGGGTCCTGCAGGCGGCCCCATCCGATGTCCGAGGCCCCAGGAATCAGATGGAAGATCCTGCTGAGTAGGGTAGGGGGGAGATCAAGAAGGGAAGGGGCATTCTGTCCCGGCCCCGAGAGAAGTCCAAAGCTGGCCTTTGTGCCTGGTGGGGCTCCCATGGTGGCTCAGACAGTAAAAACTCTGCCTGCAATGCAGGAGACCCGGGTTCTATCCCTGAGTTGGGAAGATCCCTTGGAGAAGGAAATGGCTATCCACTCCAGGATTCTTGCCTGGAGAATCCCACGGACAGAGGAGCCTGGCGGGCTGCAGTCCATGGGGTTGCAGAGCCGGAAACGACTGAGTGACTTTCCCTCGCTTGCCTTTGGGGGTCTGTAGCCACACCAGGTGGCCCCTCCGGAGAGACAACTTAGCTGTGTATTTCTGAAGCTCTCTAATCTCCCTCTTTACTCACTCATTTAAAAATCTCACTGAATGCTCTAAGCAAAACATTTATCTCCAGCTTTCTGCAGAGAAACTCAGTATTTTTAAAGGAACACCAGGTAGCCTAGCCATATGTTTTTGTCTGATCTCATATGTAATTAAAGTCCCATTAGTGCAAGTGCTGAAAATAAAATGACCTCCACCCAAGAGTCAGGTTGACGGAGGCAAGATCTCCAGGTTCAATTCCCTGAGGCTGCCCTGACACAAGTGCTTTTCACCTGGTGTTAGCCTGGGCTGCTGTAACCAACACTGCAGACCGGGGGGAGGGGGAGGGCCTCAAACAACAGAGGTTTACTTCTCACAGCTCTGGAGCCTGGAAGTCCAAGATCAAGGCTCCAAGGGACTCACTTCTTGGTGAGGGCTTGCTTTCTGGTCCAACCCACTGCAGGGAGTTAACCAAACAGCCCGAGGTTTTCTGAGAGCCTCTCATGAACCCCAGATCCACTGTATGCTGCCTACAAGCCCCTAGACCCACGTCAATGCAAGCCTATCTGCCTAGCTCTCTCTCTTTTAAATTTAATTAACTTTTTATTTTTGTCTGTTCTAGGTCTTCGTTGTTAGGCATTGGCTTTCTCTAGTTGCGACAAGTGGGGGCTACCCTGTAGTTGCGAGCGTGGGCTTCTTGTTGCCGTAGCTTCTCTCCTTGTGGAGCAGGGGCTCTAGGCGTGCAGGCTTCAGTAGTTGCAGCGTGTGCGCTTGGTAGTTGTGACACACAGGCTTAGTTTCTCCCTGGCATATGAGGTCTTCCCGGACCAGACATCGAACCAGTGTCCCCTGTACTCCCCATTACAAGGCGGATTCTTAACCACTGGGCCACCAGGGAAGCCTCTGCTTATATCTTTGAGAGGCTTCACCAACTAAGAATTGCTGGGGTCCAGCATTCTTAGCGAATTACTCTGTTTGTACATATCGTGTTGTTTTCTAGAGTTTGGAAGTGTCTAAGAGAAGCAGGTCTCCATGTGCCCCACCTGCTTATCTTTCCTTCCATCTGCCTGCCCTTGAGCTTGTCTTTCCAAACCTATTTCTGGAACAATGTTCAAACAAAACTAGGGTCACTTCCAGATGGTAGAATTTAGGACATTTTTATATTCTCTTCTCTGTTCTTTTTCGTACCGCTTCCATTTTTAAAATAGGATTGTACTAATTTTACAAAGTAAAAATGATTGTTCTTTTTTTAATGGGATACATTTTTAACCTATAAGTTCTCAAAAGATATGAAATTGGAGGTTCCCAGGGTCAGGAACAATGTGGGCAGTGGGTTCTCTTACTTCCCTGGGGGAGTGTATTGAGGACCTTCTCACAACTTAAAAACCTTACAAACATGAAGCCCATTTGGCTAAAACATTGCACCCACAGAAAAGTTATCCTAAGAAATGATGGGAAAAAAAAGAAGAAATGATGAGAGGGACTTCCCTGGTGGTCCAATGACTAAGACTCCATGCTCCCAACGCAGGAGGCCTTGGTTCGATCCCTGGTCGGGTAACTAGATCCCACCTGCCACAACTAAATGATCCTGCATACCATTACTAAGACCCGGTGCAGCCAAATAAATAAATGAGTGGAAGTGATTGGGAAGGTGTGCCGAATTTATAAATTAAGGTTTTCCTGAAGATATCGTTTTTAATGACAACAACTTTTCAACTATCCAACACTAGGAGACTGATTAGAAGTTTGGCTCTGGTGGTTTTTTATAAGTTTCTTCTTTGAGCTCCTTTGATTGATTTTTATTTTCTAACAGGAAGGCATTATTTTGATAATCATCATAAAGCTACTTTTACTTTGCTAAGAAGTCCGGTTCTGCAGAGCGATTTTCCCCTTATCTGATCATTTGCCCAAGTTGGGAGCGTGATGAGCAGCCCCAGGCAGGACACATGCCAATTCTTCAAGCCATGATCTGCTTCCCACTTTAAAAGGAAAAACAAGCCTCTTTATTAGTCAGATGACCTGGTGGCTCTGCCATCGGATTCTGTAGAGGAGAGATCTCCTGGAGGTGGACAGAAAGGGAGACCCCCGTGAAGAGGGACTCTATGCAGGGAACCTGGGCAGCTGGTGAATGACAATGAGGGTGAGGGCGATGGGAAGGCAGGGCCCAGAGCTGTTATAATATAGACATGAGTGCATGGAAATGAGCATTGTTTCAGGCACCTCAATTCGCTGTATTTTCACTACCGGCTGTATTTAGTAAAATAGGAAAATGTCAATGTTGTGCCATTTCCTCACTTCCAGGTAAACACCGGGCCCGGCTTGAGCAGCCGGATCTCAGCTCACTACCGCCCCCTCGTGTTAGATGGGGCACCCGGAAGGGACAGGTGCAGAAAAGAAAGGAAATTGTACTGGAGAAAAATCCACCTGAGAAGGGAACTGCGAAGATTCAGCCTGGCCCTAGAGACGGTGGGGCAGCATCCACACATCCCTTGAGAAATCCCTCACAAGTGAGGGTTCTATGGTCAAGAAATGTGGGAAACGCAACCCACCACATTTTCTCTTTCAGATTCCTGATGCATTTTAGCAAATAAAAGCCATTGGAAAGTTCTGCAACAAAAAACTTTTTTATTATTACAACTTTTATTCGGAAAAACTAATTTTTCTTTTTTTCTTTATATTTTTTATTTTTTATTGAAAGATAATTGCTTTACAGGATTTTGTTTTCTGTCAAACCTCGACATGAATCAGCCATAGGTATATCCCTTCCCTTTTGAACTTCCTTCCCATCTTCCTCCCCATCCCACCACTCTAGATTGATACAGAGCCCCTTTTTACACTGGTAATGTAAGTTTCCCTGTTACTTTCCCCATACATCTCACCCTCTCCTCCCCACTCCCCATGTCCATAAATCTGTTCTCTATGTCTGTTTCTCCATTGCTGCCCTGTAAATAAGTTCTTCAGCACCATTTTTCTAGATTCTGTATGTATGCATTAGAATACGATATTTATTTTCTTCTTTCTGAGTCACTTCACTCTGTATAATAGGTTCTAGGTCATCAAAAAAATGTCTTAAAAGATTTAACTTTCCCCAACGTCTGTGGTCACAGGATCCTTTTACAAATGAAGTCTGTTAGCCCTGGGAAATAACATTCCATGGTACACATGTTGGGAACCACTGCTAAAATGGAGCCATGGCTGAGGAAGACTGGGCTGTTCTAGAACTGATCCAGAGAAAGAGAAGTAAGGTGGTCATTCTGGTGCTCACAATGGGGCCTCAGGAGCTGGGCATTCTCTTCCTTTCAGAATCCTGCTGGCTGGGTCACAGGGTGACGATGGTGATGATGGTGGTGGTCGGGGTGCTGGTGGTGATGAGAGCCCATGCATAGTGCTTATTCTGTGTTTGCTGTTTAGTCACTCATTTGTATCTGACTCTTCTGCGACCCCATGGACTGTAGCCTGTAAGGCTCCCCTGTTCATGGGATTTCCCAGGCAAGAATACTCGAGAGAGTTGTCATTTCCTCCTCCAAGGGATCTTCCCAAACCAAGGATCAAACCAGCATCTCCTGAATTGCAGGTGAATTCTTTACCACTGAACCACCAGGGAAACTTGCTTCTCCTACACCAGATATTGTTCTAAGCCATTTATAAATTAACTCATTTTATTCTAACCATCTGTAGGAAAGGTACTAATTTTTAGATATAAAAAATGAAGCTGAACTCATTCATAGCTGGTGGGAAGATACTATTGGTACCTCCAGTTTAGAAGACAGTTGGGTGTGTCTCCCAGGCCGCTGTACAGTTTGTGACATGTTTAAATCAAAATAACACCTTCAGGGCCACCCACGGGGCCTCCTGATGGCCTGAGGGGGCTATTTCTTCAGATAAGAGGCTTCCTGAGAGGCCCACCGGTCTCAGGTGAGATTCTCAGGGGTGGATACTGAGGGGGGTGAGGATGGTGTGGTGGCTGGCTGCAGCCTGCTTCTCCTTCTGAAGGGAGCACCGTCATCCAGCCTGGGGGACCCCACCTGAAGCTGGTCTGGGGGCTGGGCGCTGGGCACCACCTCTGGCTCTGCCCCCAGCACCTCTCAGGGTTGACGTGGGAACTTCCTCTCGTGGCGGGGAGGGGGTGCTGCCCGCGAACTGCACAGCAGCCTGGGCGGGCCAGAGCTGGGTGGGCACCATGTGTGGGAGACCTTCTTCCCCAGGACAGGGGTGTGAGGCCCTCAGAGGCCATCCTGAAAACAGAGGGGAGATGTGAATATTTCTTGGTTTTGTTCACTTACTTGTCGACTAGATGCCACTCCCTCCCTGTCACAAGAAGGTCTGTCTGGGTCACTCATGGGTCACCAGGTCTGAAAGCAGAGATCACACCCCCACACCCACCCCTCCCCTGTCCCAGGTCCCCTCACCACATGGCTGCCCGTCTTCCTGGTATCGGCTCAGAAGCTCCTGGGCTCCACCCCTGCTGGCTCTACAGACTCCTGGCCAGGCCAGGCCCAGGTCCCCGTATGGGTCCCTGGAAGGGATCAGTGGGGGACACAGTGTCTTGAGGGCCAGACCTGGGCAAACAGGGCTGGTGACATATCTGGGCCCTACTGCCCACCTCCCAGGACCTTCCTCCTCTGTCCTGCCCTCTCCACCTTCAGGGGACCAACTCTGGCCCAGAGGGAGCTCCCTGGTCTCGTCTGCCCAGGACAACACTGGGTCTGACATAAGCCTCCCCAGCCAAGCCTATGGTTTTTCCAGGAGTCATGTATGGATGTGAGAGCTGGACCATAAAGAAGGCTGAGCGCCGAAGAATTGATGCTTTCAAATTGTGGTGCTGGAGAAGACTCTTGAGAGTCCTTTCATAAATGATCTTTCCGATTGAACTAACCTGAAAGGATTTTGTTGTTTGCAAGCAAAACCCACATAGCACAGATGGGTGGACAATGATTTAGGAGTTAAGGAGTCGTCTTGGAGTGGACGGGACGCGAGTGACCATGAGGGTGTCCAGGAAGCCACCCTGGGCCACCGAAAGTGCGGCAAGGTGTCAACTTGAACATATACACTTTTATTAACAAAGGGGACAGAAGGGGACTGGGCCTGACTCAGCAGATGGCCCCAACTCTCGCGGGCCGTTGGCTGGGCTCAGGCCAGCTGCAGGAATGGGAGAGCCCAGAGCAGAGGAAGGAGCAGCAGCAGGAGGCAGGGGTCCAGCCTGCAAGTGTTGTTTTTGGCCAAAACCTCTCGGATCCACTTGTAGTGCGCACTGACATTGGTGTAGACACCCGGCCGGTTGGGCCTACCGCAGCCCACTCCCCAGCTCACGACTCCAACTTGATACCACAGCCCTTTCTTTTCACAGACCAAGGGCCCACCTGAGTCACCCTGGGGACCAGCATGGGTGAGCCCAGCCTGGGGTGGCGCGGGAGGGGTGAGCAGAGAGGCTGGGAGAGCAGGAGGGGCTGTGGAGCCGGGCAGACGGGGTGCAAATCCCACCCCTCCCCTCCACAGAAGTGAGCAAGCCTCAGTTTCTGCATCTGCAAAGTGGAACAGTCGTCCCTACCCCCGCCCCCAGGGTGGACACAAGGCCCAAATGGAGGGCAGGGATGCAGGGTGTTTTATGGCCGGGGCGGGGAGGGGGGTGCCTGGGGTGATGAGGCACTACAGGCCCAGAAGCGCGAGCTGGGGACGGGAGGGACACTCACAAAGCAGGAATCCTTGCCACCTTGAGGGTCACCAGCGCAAATCATGTCTCCCCAGATGTCAGTGCGGAAATCGGGCATTGAGAACAGGTGATTACACATGGTGGTGTTTATGATCCCGACCTGCACTTCCTGGAGGGTGTAGGGATATGGCAGACCTGCCGAGGAGTAGAGGGAACAGAGAAAGATGGTGTCCTGAGCCTTTCCTCTGCCATCAGAATGGCACAGGCTATGAAGGCACGCGGCGGGGGGACCCTGGGGCACCCACAGTACCTGGGACATTGCCCTTGACTCCTCTGCTCTAGCCCAGCACCCAGCACGTGGTGGGTGATGAACACACCACGGAAGGGCCTAGAGGAGGGACAGGCTGTTATAGTTTCCCTCACTGTAGCCTACAGACAACAGGCCCTGTTCCAGCCCCCGCTCCAGCCCCCGGAGAGAGACCTTAGCACGTCCAGGGTGGGGCTGGTGCAGCTGGGACGGTTTAGGATCTGCACAGTCCAGCGCCCAGTGCCTGCGGACGTGGGGCAGCCTGGCGCACTCTCTCTCCCCCTGCAACGCGCCTGTCCAGCCTGAGCCCAGAGCTCTACCAGGCGCTCCTGCAGCACTCCTGGGATGCAGTGCAATCAGCCTCCGTCTCGGGTAAGGAAAGATTCAGGAGGAAGGTCACCTCCCCCAATCCTGGCAAAGCACCAGGAGCCACCAGAGCCAAATATGAACCCGTGCATGCTAAGTTATTTCAGTCGTGTCCAACTCTTTGCAACCCTATGGACCATAACCCACCAGGTTCCTCTGTCCATGGGATTCTCTAGGCAAGAATACTCGAGTGGGTTGCCATGACCTCCTCCAGGGGGTCTTCCCAACCCAGGGATCAAAGCTGGGTCTCTTACGTCTCCTGCATGGGTCAGTGGGTCCTTTACCACTGGAACCCCCTGAGAAGCCCTGATACGAACCCAGGCCTGTCCAGAGTCTAGACCTGAATCACCTCCTTGTCCTGCAGAGGATGGTGACCCCATTAACACTGAAAGCTGGTGAGGCAATCGTTTCTTGGCTGCCAGGCGCTCTGCTAAGCCCTCACATAGGAATGCTTTTAAGCCTCAGAACTAGCCTCTCTGGTGGGAACTATTATTACCCCATTTTACAGATGAGGAAGGTGAGGCAGAGTGAGATGAAGTGCTTTGCCCAAGGTTTCCCCACTAGTACAGAGTACATCAGCTCTGGGGGTGGGGTCAAGAGGTCACCTTCTACCTGTGGGAGTGAGGGTTCAGATGGCGCTGGGTGTGATCGCCTGTCAGCTGGGGGAGGGGCAGTGTCAGCCTGGCTGGGTCGCTCAGCTCATGGCCGTCCAGCCCTTTGGACCCAAGAAGTCTACACTGGGGCACTTTCTCCAGCCCCCTGCGGTGCAAGAAAAGGATGGGGCAGGTCTCCAGTCGACTCCCCTCTCCTCGCTGGCAATGCCAGGTGTGTGGCTGGCTACCCTCTCTGGGCTAAGGAGTCCTGGCTTCTCCATGGATCCCCAGGGCCTGGGAAACTCTCCAGGCCTCTCCGGGCTTCCTCGTCTGTAAAGCAGGCATAAAGATGCTGCCAGCCTCTAGGCAGGCAGACTTCAGAAGGAAGTGAGTCCTTGGAGCCCAGAACCGTGTTGGGACACACGGTGCACCAGGGGAGCGTGGTCTATCACGGCTGCTGTGGTTGAGGGCAAGGCAGGGCCGCAATAGGCCAGGGAGCAGCGTGACCCGCAGTTTAACCCCTGAGCCCCTCTGGGGGGCCTGGGCCCAGCGGTTTCAAGGGACTCGTGGGTGAGAGAGAAATGGGTGGCAGCTAATGGCAACCCACTCCAGTGCTCCTGCCTGGAAAATCCCATGGATGGAGGATCCCAGTAGGCTACAGTCCATGGGGTCACAAAGAGTCGGACATGACTGAGCGACTTCACTTTTCACTTTCACTAATGCCAGCACACGGAGCCCCGCAGATATTGAGTGGGAACAAGGCTGGAGCGAGGCTCGAAGTTTCAAGGAGAGAGAATGAATGAGCTGGCACTCCCAGGGGGGAGGGCTCCCCACTCCCACCGTCCCTGTCAGTGCAGAAGGGGTGGGGGAGCTGGAGTGGGAGGCTGGATGGAGGGGGTGAGGGGAGAACCCTGCTGGGGTAGAAAGAAGGGTTTCCTGAAACACACCCCCCTCTCCCCCCGCAGCACCCAACAGACACCCAGCAGGCTGGGGGTGCTAGCCTGGGTCTTCCTCTCTGGTTTCTGGCTCATAATCTCCAAAAGAGAAGGGAGATTTAGGCTTTCTTAGGGTACAGAAAGCCCTGCTCTACGGGCGAGGGGCAAGAGTGGAGAGCCAGCGTGGAGAGAGCACTGAGCAGGCTGCCCGCGTGAGGCTGGCGCAGCTAGAACCCGCGGGCGACGACACTGCCACCCTCGCCTGGCCCAGACGCGGCTGTCCCCAGACTCACTCAGCTCTTCTTCAACGTCGCCCCAGCCGGTCACCCAGCAGTCACTTCTGTTCTCAAACTCGGAGATGGAGGCCACGACACAGATGGGCTGGATGTACTTAGTGTAGGTGACCGAGGAGGACAGCTTCACCAGGGCGATGTCATACACCGGAGCTCCCAGATAGAAGGGGCTCAGGAAAATCCGATCCACATTGTAACGGTTGTAGTAGGCTTGCAAGTTCCAAATGGATGGTGTGGCAGACAGCTCCCCAAACTGAACCGACCAGTCAAAGGGATCTTGGTTGCTATTAAGGGAGGAGAAAGCCCTCAGGGGTCTTCAGAGGGAGGGTGGGCCACCCCAGCACACCCGGGGCTGCTCCCTGAGCTGAGAACGCGGGGACGCTGCCCTGCTCTCCCAGGACCCCATTAGCAGGTCCTCCTTCCACAAAGAGGCCAGGGTAGAAACGGGGAGAGCCCCGAGAGCCCCAACCAAAGTTGCACACACAGGGACTTGGGGCAGGAAGGTGCCTCCCCTGCCAGCTCATCTGGCCAGTCACTCAACCACCTGTCGCCTCCAGGGCCCTCCTCTTAAGGGGACCAGCAGGTTCACCAGGGTCACACAGGCTGGGCTCCAAACAGCCTCGGGGGCCACTGACCCCACCAGCCAGGCTCCTGTCCAGCACTTACCTCAGCTCATTCCTCCCCCCGGGGCACACCTCCGCTGGGAGGTGGGGTGAGGAAGGTGGAGGCTGGAGGTGCCATTTGGGGACAAATGAAGCGAGAAAGAGAACAGGACACACAAATGTTCCGGAAGAAACCGGGAGCGCCCAGAGGCCTCGCACCCGTGTGTAACGGCTGCAGCCCAGCCTGGGGCTCAGGAGCACACGAGGGTCGCAGCCACGTGGGACATGCGCGCGCGTCCTGGCACAGACCCGGGACGCGGAGTCAGCGGGCCCCCTGCCCCCAGACTCACTTTTCAAAGCAGTGCGCGGCGGAGAGCACCCAGCGGCGGTTGAGCAGGCTCGCTCCGCAGAAGTGGGAGCCCCACAGACGCAGGCTGCCCTGCCACGGCCAGTGCCCGAGCGCTGAATCCCTTCCACCCACTATGCGTGTTGGGATGACCCGTTGGCCACAAGGCCCTGGGATGGACAGACGGACACCAGGCTGAGCTGCGGGAGGCAGGCTCATCCTGCCCACCCTCATCTTTGGGGTGCGCGAAGGGAAGGGGCTCCCGGGGGAACCGCGCGTCCTGGGGTCGTGCCACCCAGGAAGAGTCGAACGCTGGGGACCCGCCCCTCGTGGCCCGCGGGCGCCCGCCCCATCCTGCCCCCCGGCCCCCCGGGGCCCATCAGTTACATGAGAGCATCGACGAGTTCTGAAAACCTGGAGGGGGAGAGGGAAAGCTGAGGCGCCCTTCGCGCTCGGGCCCACGAGCCCTCCGCGGGGAAGCGCCTCCCGCACGCCTTACCTGGAAGCAGCAGGTCCTTGTCCCGAAAGGCTGGGGGCAGGAGACGAGATGAGCTCCCCTCTGCCTCCTCGCGCCCCAGCCGCCCCAGTCACCCCGGCTCGCGCCCGCAGCCCTCGCCCGAGCTCACCCTGCTCGGCGATTTCGATCCGCACCAGCAGCAGCGCCAGCAGCTGCGCCGCCCCCTGCGGGCGCATGGCCTCGCCCCCTGCCGCCCGGCGCCCTCTCTGATCCCACCCGCTCCAGGGCCCCGCTGAGCGCCCCCTGGGGGAGAGGGAGCCGCGGGAACCCTGGGCGCCCCCGCCGGGCCGTCGATCTGGCTGGTCCAAGGTTTGTTTGGGTACCTGGGACGTCACAGTGCCCGGCTTTGAGCTTGTTACTGGGACTGGTCCCCAACGACGTACCTTGCTGTGGCCCGGGAACCGGTGCGAGCAGCCGACCCCTCTCTCGTCCGCCACGCTGGGGGCCTGGCCGCCCCCTGCTGCCCTCTGTACTAGCCGCTCCTTCCTCTAGCAAGGACCAAGGACCTGGCCCACCGTCAGGACTCTCATGAAGGTGCAGAGAAGAGTCTGGGAGAGACCGGGTGCAGGCTTCCAGCTGTCCTCTTCCAGAGGGGTCGGATGGGCACTGCTTAATTTTCCCACTCATGAACTGCTGTTAACCAGGGGCACTCACCTAAACTTTGGTGTCTGGAGTTTCTATCGGGATTTCATCACAAAGGTATGGAGTGCCCACGTGGCTGACCTTAGTTCTCAGACTGCAGCCCCTCCAGAGGTCCAGCTGATCCAGTCTGACCCAAGGCCCCAGCATAAACTACATCATTAGCAACTATCTGGAGAGGCCCCAGGACCCCAGATCTACAGACAGCCTTTTCAGGCAGGACTCTCCAAGGGCTGGATGTTATTTCCTGAGCTGTTAAAGGGCCAGCCCTTTCTTTGGACTATGAAGGGTTTGACCATCCTAGACCTGTTCAGTTAAGCTTTTACTGCACAGCAACCAAGAATGAAGAAATGTTCACAGAAAATGTGTGCATGCAGTGGAAGGATCTATTCAAATAAACTGAACTGACTCCAGAGGAAACTGAGATATTACATGGAACAGCTGACAGCTTGAAAAATTCTAACTGGTTTCCTCAGAAAGCCTGAAGAGGTGTTTATCAGCATTAAATAAGAATTATACTACAGAAGACAAAGCAATCAGAGAACAAGAAAGAGTGTCTGGAAATTTAAAATATTGCTGAAGTAAAGCAGCTTAGCCAAACACCTGAATAAGAAAATGGACATAGCTAAAAAATGAATTGGCAAACTTGAAGACGGAGCAGTGAAACACGGAGAACTCAGAGCCAGAGTTTAAAGGGGACGTATTACATGAAAGAGAAACGTAGAGACATGGAGTGACAGTCAAGACTGGTTCTTGTTGGGACTTCCCAGTGGTTAAGAATCTGCACTGCAATGCAGGGGACGAGGGTTTGATCCCTGGTTGGAGAACTAAGATCCCACATGTCGCCACAACTACTGAAGTCTGAGAGACACAGCTAGAGAGTCCGTGCATATCACAGGAAGATACCCTGCGTGACGCAACTAACACCCACCACAGCCAAACAAGCAATAATGAAGAAAGAGTGGTTCTTGTCTCTCCATTTCTCCACAATAAAAAGTGCTTTAAGTGAAATAAAATAGGGGGTTGAGAAAAGGTGACGATCAGGCTTGCCTCTAGAATCCCCATTAGCAAACCATTAGAAAGGCAGGTCGGGGGGCTTCCCTGGTGATCCAGTCATTAAAAATCCTCCTGCCAATGCAAGTGACGCGGGAAGATCCCATATGCAGCAGGGCAACTAAGACCGTGTACCTCAACTACTGAGGCCTGTGCGCCTGGAGCCCATGCTCTGCAACAAGGGGAGTCACTGCAAGGAGAAGTCCGTGCAACTCAACAAAGAGTAGCCTCTGCTGGCTGCAACTAGAGAAAGCCCACCAGTAGCAACAAGGGCCTACCGCAGCCAAAGGGACGAAAAAAAAGCATGTCTGTACATGATATTGGTTCCATATCGATTTTTACCTCCTCAGTATCATTCTGAATAGGTGAGCAGACACTCGTGAGCACAGAAAGAGTAATTGAGAGCTTCCCTGGTGGCTCAGGGGTGAGGAATCCGCATGCCAGTGCAGGAGACATGGGTTCGATCCCTGATCTGGGAGGATCCCACATGCTGTGCACCACGACTGCTGAGCCTGTGCCTCAGAACCTGGAGCCACAACCACTGGAGTCAGAGTACCCTAGGGCCCCTGTTCCGCCACAAGAGAAGCCCCTGCAAAGAGAAGCCCGAGCACCACAAGAAGAGAGTACACTCTGCTCGGCACAACTAGAGAAAAGCCCGCATAGCAAGGAAGACCCAGCACACCAAAAAGAGATGCATTAAATTAACACCACCAACAAAATAACAAAAGAGTTGTTGAATGGCTGTGAGTTCTAAGGGACATTTGATGATCAGGAGTGTCAGCATGCCTTTATTTTTATGACTTATTAAAAAATTTTGAATTGAACTATAGTTGATTTACAATGCTGTGTTAGTTTCAGGTGGCAGCAAAGTGACTCTGTTTTTTGTTTGCTTTTTCGGCCGTGCCATGTGGCATGTGGGATCTTAGTTCCCTGACCAGAGATCAAACCTGTACCTCCTGGCAGTGGAAGCTCAGAGTCTTAATCACTGGACCACCAGGAAAGTCCCAGGTTTACACACAAACACACACACACACATTCTTTTTCAGATTCGCTTCCATTATAGGCTATTACAAGACATTAAGTATAGTTCCCTGTGCTATACAGGAGGTCTTCGTTGGTTGTCTATTTTATATATAGCAGTATGTATATTTTAATCCCAAACTCTGAATTTATCCCTCCCCCCTTTCGTAACCATATGTTTATTTTCTATGTCTGTGAGTCTATTTCTGTTTCATAAATAAGTTCATTTGTTTCATTCTCTTTTTAGATTCCACATGTAAGTTATATCATATGATGTTTGTCTTTCTTTGACTTACTTCACTTAGTATGATAATGTCTGGGTCCATCCATGTTGCTACAAATGGTATTATCTTTCTTTTTTTCTCTTCTTTAACAAAACTTTTTATTTTGTATTGGGGTATAGCTGATTACAAGGATGTCTTTACATCAGATTAGTAAATCAGATTAGTAAATGCACTGGCTCTTACATAATTCTGATAATCTAGACATTCTCAAAATAATTTCTGGGACCAAAGAAACAAAAAATCACAAACAGGCAGGACATGTCTTTCTTTATCCCCGTAAGGTGTCAGTAAATCATGAAACTTCTGTTTGTTTGTTTTTTCCAATAACAAAAATCTGTAATACTGTTAGTGGAGGTACTTTACTATTTTACAAGGATTCCAGCAAGTCTATTCCAATAAAGGCCAAGCATAAGTAGATCAGGCTTTCCAGGTGGCACTAGTGGCAAAGAACCTGCCTGCCAGTGCAGGAGACATAAGAGACTCGGGAAGATTCCCTGGAGAAGGGCATGGCAGTCCACAGCAGTATTTGGCTAGCAAACCCCATGGACAGAGCCCGGTGGGCCACACTCCAGAGGGTCAAAAAGAGTCAGACACGACTTAGCATGCACACATAAGTAGATTAAGAAATTTAACTTCTTGTAATTTCTTTCTAGGACTTGCCTGGTGGTTCAGATGGTAAAGCATCTGCCTACAATGCAGGAGACACAGGCTTTATCCTTGGGTTGGGAAGATCCCCCGGAGAAAGAAATGGCAACCTACTCCAGTATTCTTGCCTGGGAAATCCCATGGATGGAGGAACCTGGTAGGCTACAGTCCATGCGGTCGCAAAGAGTTGGACACGACTAAACAACTTCACTTTCACTTTCTTTCTTTCAATTTCTTTCTAAACATCTTTTTATTTTGTTTTGACTGAGGATATATATTGGTGGGAAAGTCGCAAGCAAGATGAAAGTGGCTGTGGACTATCACGTACCGGATACTTTCAGATAAAATAGAACCCAAGGCTCAAAGTCTTGAGAATGAGCTATGAGTCACAGGGGTATTTTACATTGGTAAGAGTTATAAGCCCTTGAAAAGATATAAGAGGCATGAGCTTTTATACCCCAATAACAATTTTTATTTTGAAATAATAAAAGTAAAACATAAGATGTTATACATAAAAATAAGATAAAAATGTTCTCAATACTAAAAAAACTAATAAATCCAGTTTTTTTCTCTCAGAAATCAAGAGATCAGGTAAATGAAAAAGCAATAATGCAGTACTGAGCATGACTTTGGCCTCAATCAAGCATTTGGGTGGAGAATGAAGTGGTAACCCACTCTAGTATTCTTTCCTGGAGAATCCCACAGGCTGAGGGGCCTGGTGGGGTACGTCCACAGGGTCACAAAGAGTCAGACGTGACTGAGAGTGAGCACGTATGCAAGTATTCGGGGCTTCTCAGAGACCCACGGAGCTCCTTGGAGGGGGAGCTGCCTGCAGGCTAGGCTGATGCGAGGAGCAATCCAAGATAGGTACTTTTTTTTTTTTTTTAATCTTTTGGCTGCACTGCACAGTATGTGGGATCTTAGTACCCTGATCAGGGAATCAGGGTTCCTGCATTGGAAGGTGGATTCTTAACCACTGGACCAGCAGAGAAGTCCCTGGGCTTGCTCCATATCTCTTTTCCTCTTTCTCCAACCCCTATCTTTCCAGGGAAGCCTAAGGACTGGCTGGAGAAATGTAGGCCAGCCACCAGCGCAGGGAGCACAGGGCAGGGCCGCAGGTTCAGGGGCAGGGAGAGGAGGCAGGGGCGGGGGTCCTTTGGGACCTCCATCAGTCTTCCAGTTCCTTGAACGTTCACCAGCTGTGTCACACACAGTACCTGCAGGCAGTCGACAGCTGCATATGCAAAGGACGGAACAAGATCATTTTGGATATTGCCAAGTTCTAGGAAGGAAATGGACTTCCCTGATGGTGCAGATGGTAAAGCCTCTGCCTGCAATGCAGGAGACCGGGGTTTGACCCCTGGGTCGGGAAGATCCCCTGGAGAAGGAAATGGCAACCCACTCCTGTACTCTTGCCTAATCCCATGGACAGAGGAGCCTGGTAGGCTATAGTCCATGGGGTTGCAAAGAGTCGCACACGACTGAGGGACTTCACTTTCACTTTCAGGAAGGAAATACAACAGGTCAGTGAGAAGGACAGTCAGT